CGCTCACCCCCCTCCCCTGCTGCTTCCATTGCCCCGCTTTCCTTCCCCAGCCTCCCTCTCCCCTAACCTTTGCTGTTCCCTGCCCAGTTCTTCCCCTTCCTCCTGCTCCACTTCTCCCATCACCTCTCTATCCCTCTCCCCCATAGAGCCACATCATGGTCCAGCTAAGTGGCCCGGGCATGGCGGCTCCTGGGTTCTGTTCCCAGCTGTACCTCCTGTGCCCACATTTCCAAATGTTCATTATCCTCCATATTTGAGTTCCTAGTTAAATGGCCCGGTAGCCAGAGGAGCTGAGTACCAAGCATTGCTTCCCACTGAGATCCATGAGAATGGCAGGAGCTTAGCGCCTCTGAAGTCTGCTCACCTTTATATAAGTGCCTGACAGTATTGGCTTTAACCTTAGTCTCTCCCCCTTTCCTGTGATGTGGGAATGCTATTTACTCACCCCCTTGGACCAGTTGGAAGGATTCATATTTGCACACTATTTCGTCAGAGTGAAGCGTTACGTACTGTAATGCTGGTGACAATTCATCATATGGGTCCTGAGCAACCCCGGCCACGGGGCAGCCAGAAGGCCACGTGGCAGGACCTCACAGTCATGGTGGAGCTGTGTGGCAAGATCTAGGTTAAAATAGTGACCCGGATAAGTGCTGGGCTGGAAGATGGGGGAAGGCTGGTCTTGGTAGGTTGGGAATGGTTCCTTGGTTCTGCAACAAAGTAGTTACTTAGAATCCCTGCCTTCTCCTATGCACGTTGCCAGCTCCTCTCTTCCATCTGCTGCACCCTCACCATCTGTAAGCTGGGCTGTCCTTCACTCTGTCTGTCCACCCACACCGCCGCCTTGAAACCCATCCTGTAATCCTTTGGGCAGGGTTGTCAGATTCCGTGTTCTTTCCCCTCTTTGGCACGCGGTCTTCTCTCTTCTTTGGTTCCCGAAGGTCTGGGGGGCCGTCCCAAGCTGCTCAGCCAGGAGGAAATTGACTCGGCCTAACATTCCATTCCGTTTGCTTTTTCTCTCCCAGACAGTAAAAATGGAGGAGTTGAACCAGGCTCTGGCTTCCAGCTTCGCAGTATCTCCGGACCTGAACAGCATAGCAGCCCCACACCCCCGACTGGCCCAGTACAAGTCCAAGTACAGTTCCTTGGAGCAGGCAGAGAGGAGACGCAAGCTCCTCGAACTTCAGAAATCGTAAGGGTCCCTTAACTGCTGGTGTTTGTTTCTGGGCTGGAGATCCTTTTAGAGCAACACAAACGTTGACTGTCTGCCCCGATCTTTGGGGCTGGGTGTACAGAGCGTTCCAAAAAAAGTATAACAAAAATTAAGTAAAGTGGGGATTTCTTTTCCTGCATCTGACTTCTCTTTTTTTTGTTTTGCGTGATGTAAGAACGGGGAATGGGACGATTTACAATGCAGCTGTTCCTACTAACGTCCGTGACGTTAGCATGGAACCAACGCATACCGGGATGATGTATTGCGGGGACGCCCTGTATTGTAAATGGTGTTTTGATGTGTGGCATCTACTCCCTGCAAGGCCGTGCGAGTGTGGAAGGCTGACCTTGGTGTGCCTCCAGCACCTACCGAGGGGTTGGCACATTTGAAAGTTGGCACTAGTGCTGCCATGTGTAGCTGCTGGGTTAACTAGTAAGCATATATGAGGGTTACTGGTACGCTTAATGATTAACCAGTTAGCCAATCCTTGTCATTTAACTCTGACAGTGACTGTGGCAAGGCCAGGCAGCAGGCTCTAGGTTAAAACAGTTAACTGGTTAAGTGCTATTGTTTAACTGGTTAACCTTTTAACATCCCAACTGCTGGGTTGAGAGATGGGGGTAGGCCAGTGCTAGTGGTCAGGAATGGTCCCTTGGTTCTGCTATGACAGAGGTAGGCAGTAATTTTTGATTGGGGGGAGCCATTTCTAGAATTGAGTGTGGTCAAGGACCACTCTCTTCTATAATATTAATGGAGGAGGTGCAGGGTCTGGTATGTAGGTTAGATTGGGGAGCAAGAAGGAATGTAGGGTCTGGGAGGGAGTTTGGCTAAAGGAGGGGGGTGTGACCTGGGGTGGGGAATTAGGGTGCAGGAGGGGGTGCAGAGTCTGGGAGGGGGTATGGAGCTGGGATGCAAAGGGTTTGGGTTGTGACTTGGGGCAGGGAGTTGGGATGTGGAAGGAGATGGGGTACCAGTGGCAGGCTCTGGCCAGGAGGTGCTTACCTTAGGCGACTCCTGGACAGCAGCCCAGTGGGACCCTCAGGCAGGCTTCCTGCCTGCTGCACCCCCTCATACTGTGGGAAACGGCCAGCTGTGGGGGCCATGTGCATCTCTATGCACTGTTTGTGCTGCAGGCATGGCCCAGGCTGGTTTCTTATGCAGGTGGCCCTTGCTGCCGGCTGCCTTGAGTGGTGTGTAGGGCTGCAGCAGACAGCCTGCCCAAAGCTTCCACTGGACTACGAGACAGTGGCAGGGGGTGTCCCGCCCGCGCGCTGGGCGACAGCATGTCTCAATGGCACTTTGCATGGTGGGGGAGTTGCGAATATACATGGGAATCAGAGCATGTGGAGGAGACTGGGACTTCCCTGTGCCTCCTGGAACAGGCTCGGTGGTGCAGCTTGGGTTTCTTATAGCTGTGTCTTTCCAGAATAAGAATATAAGAATGCGCTGTGACAGGCGTGCGATTACAGCATGTTCTACTCGTGGGTAGGTTAAAGAAGAGGCCAAGTGCCTTTAGGATTGAGCTGGGAGGGTGGGGGGAGACAGACGCCGGAGTGCTACAACCCACAGTCTGTTGTTAAAGTTAGAAAACAGTTGTTGTTCTGGTATTCTAGCTAGCGAGTCCCGGCTCATGTGCAGATGGGTTTCAAAGGGCACAGCTGGGAATCCTCATTGTACCATTCGCTCAACAAGCGCATGTATTCAGCGCCTTCCTCCCTGGACGCAGGCGCAGCATTCCAGGGTGCGTGGGAGGGCGGAAATGGCCGTGTCTCCTTTCACAGAAAGGAATGTGCGTCTCTGGTGTCTCCTCCAGTAAGCGATTGGACTATGTGAACCATGCCAGGAGACTGGCAGAGGATGACTGGACGGGAGCTGAGGCTGAGGAGGGGGAAGATGCGGGCAATGAGGATATGGATGTTGACCTGGTCAAGAAGTTGCCAAAGCGCTATGCCAACCAGGTGAGCAGGGATACGTAGCACAAGGAGATGATGGGCCTGCTACTGGAAATGGAGGCGTGCATGTGTCCGGGGGTGGGGAGGAGGTCCACCCAAGGGTGCAGCAGTGAAGGATGAGTGACTGTGAGCTGCATACCGGGGTGAACACTTCGTACCTGTGCTTATAGTTGACTGAGCAAATGCTTTGCATACAGGGCAAAATTACGGGGGAGAGGGAGGTGGGCGTGAGTGAATGAAAACTGCAAGGAGTATATGGTGTGGGTGGATGCCCAATCCATTGATGAAATCATGGTAGGGATAGTACGTAAGGGAGAGTGAAAGTGTTTCCCAAAGTAGCAACACCTTTCCTTGCCCTGTGGAATAAACCGTTCTAAATGTTCTGATTCACGCCCACCGCTTTCAGTTTAACTGACTTACGCCCACGGTGAGACCTTCTCTCATTCCCGGATAGTCTTTGAGGCTGTTCCGGGCTACTCAGAAGAGGTCTGATAACCACATACGTGCCCATTCATAAAGATGGAGCTGTGAACAATAAGTCACCGATGCACATCGAGGCCTAGTTGGAGAAAGCAGGGCCATTATTTGTATTTCTTGACTAGTAAGTATTTGCTCACTTCCCAAGTGTCATTATTAACACTGTTGCTATGTAACCCTACAGCTGATGCTGTCCGAGTGGTTAATTGACGTCCCCCCAGATCTGGAGCAAGAATGGATCCTGGTGGTGTCCCCCATAGGAAAAAGGGCACTGATTGTGGCAGCCAGGGTAAGAGATCATGGTGTCTGTCAGCCACACAAAGCACTTTAACTCTGACAGTGACTGTGGCAAGGCCAGGCAGCAGGCTCTAGGTTAAAACAGTTAACTGGTTAAGTGCTATTGTTTAACTGGTTAACCTTTTAACATCCCAACTGCTGGGTTGAGAGATGGGGGTAGGCCAGTGCTAGTGGTCAGGAATGGTCCCTTGGTTCTGCTATGACAGAGGTAGGCAGTAATTTTTGATTGGGGGGAGCCATTTCTAGAATTGAGTGTGGTCAAGGACCACTCTCTTCTATAATATTAATGGAGGAGGTGCAGGGTCTGGTATGTAGGTTAGATTGGGGAGCAAGAAGGAATGTAGGGTCTGGGAGGGAGTTTGGCTAAAGGAGGGGGGTGTGACCTGGGGTGGGGAATTAGGGTGCAGGAGGGGGTGCAGAGTCTGGGAGGGGGTATGGGCGGTGGGAGGGGGTATGGATGCAGGAGAGGATTCTGGCCTGGGGGGAGGGCATAAGAGGGGGTGCAGAGTCTGGGAGGGGGTATGGGTGCAGGAGCTGGGATGCAAAGGGTTTGGGTTGTGACTTGGGGCAGGGAGTTGGGATGTGGAAGGAGATGGGGTACCAGTGGCAGGCTCTGGCCAGGAGGTGCTTACCTTAGGCGACTCCTGGACAGCAGCCCAGTGGGACCCTCAGGCAGGCTTCCTGCCTGCTGCACCCCCTCATACTGTGGGAAACGGCCAGCTGTGGGGGCCATGTGCATCTCTATGCACTGTTTGTGCTGCAGGCATGGCCCAGGCTGGTTTCTTATGCAGGTGGCCCTTGCTGCCGGCTGCCTTGAGTGGTGTGTAGGGCTGCAGCAGACAGCCTGCCCAAAGCTTCCACTGGACTACGAGACAGTGGCAGGCCTGATCCAGCCTGCAGGCTGTGCTATGAGAATGTATCAGTACCACGGAAGTAGAGGAGTAACTCCACACAGCATGTCTCAATGGCACTTTGCATGGTGGGGGAGTTGCGAATATACATGGGAATCAGAGCATGTGGAGGAGACTGGGACTTCCCTGTGCCTCCTGGAACAGGCTCGGTGGTGCAGCTTGGGTTTCTTATAGCTGTGTCTTTCCAGAATAAGAATATAAGAATGCGCTGTGACAGGCGTGCGATTACAGCATGTTCTACTCATGGGTAGGTTAAAGAAGAGGCCAAGTGCCTTTAGGATTGAGCTGGGAGGGTGGGGGGAGACAGACGCCGGAGTGCTACAACCCACAGTCTGTTGTTAAAGTTAGAAAACAGTTGTTGTTCTGGTATTCTAGCTAGCGAGTCCCGGCTCATGTGCAGATGGGTTTCAAAGGGCACAGCTGGGAATCCTCATTGTACCATTCGCTCAACAAGCGCATGTATTCAGCGCCTTCCTCCCTGGACGCAGGCGCAGCATTCCAGGGTGCGTGGGAGGGCGGAAATGGCCGTGTCTCCTTTCACAGAAAGGAATGTGCGTCTCTGGTGTCTCCTCCAGTAAGCGATTGGACTATGTGAACCATGCCAGGAGACTGGCAGAGGATGACTGGACGGGAGCTGAGGCTGAGGAGGGGGAAGATGCGGGCAATGAGGATATGGATGTTGACCTGGTCAAGAAGTTGCCAAAGCGCTATGCCAACCAGGTGAGCAGGGATACGTAGCACAAGGAGATGATGGGCCTGCTACTGGAAATGGAGGCGTGCATGTGTCCGGGGGTGGGGAGGAGGTCCACCCAAGGGTGCAGCAGTGAAGGATGAGTGACTGTGAGCTGCATACCGGGGTGAACACTTCGTACCTGTGCTTATAGTTGACTGAGCAAATGCTTTGCATACAGGGCAAAATTACGGGGGAGAGGGAGGTGGGCGTGAGTGAATGAAAACTGCAAGGAGTATATGGTGTGGGTGGATGCCCAATCCATTGATGAAATCATGGTAGGGATAGTACGTAAGGGAGAGTGAAAGTGTTTCCCAAAGTAGCAACACCTTTCCTTGCCCTGTGGAATAAACCGTTCTAAATGTTCTGATTCACGCCCACCGCTTTCAGTTTAACTGACTTACGCCCACGGTGAGACCTTCTCTCATTCCCGGATAGTCTTTGAGGCTGTTCCGGGCTACTCAGAAGAGGTCTGATAACCACATACGTGCCCATTCATAAAGATGGAGCTGTGAACAATAAGTCACCGATGCACATCGAGGCCTAGTTGGAGAAAGCAGGGCCATTATTTGTATTTCTTGACTAGTAAGTATTTGCTCACTTCCCAAGTGTCATTATTAACACTGTTGCTATGTAACCCTACAGCTGATGCTGTCCGAGTGGTTAATTGACGTCCCCCCAGATCTGGAGCAAGAATGGATCCTGGTGGTGTCCCCCATAGGAAAAAGGGCACTGATTGTGGCAGCCAGGGTAAGAGATCATGGTGTCTGTCAGCCACACAAAGCACAGCAGTGGAACTCTGTGTACTGGTACATGTGCATCTGTCCATCCTAAAAACATCCGCTATTAGTCCATGAATTCTGGTTGCCATCTTCCTGCCAATGCTGCAGGCAGCCCGATCCTGCTCCCAAGGGAGGTTTGCTACTGATGTCAATTGGAGGAATGTCTAAAATCAGCTATGCAGGGAGGCCTAATCAACACAGTGGTCCCAGATGCTGTTAAAATACCGCCCCCTCTTGGAAGCTTCGTGGGATGGGTCTGTGATTCTAACTGGATCAGTATTCGGTACATGCAGACCTGTCGCTTGCAGTGCAATAGCAGTGGAGGCAATTTGGACTTTCTCCATTTCCCTGCAGGGCTCCACTGCAGCTTACACCAAGAGTGGATTTTGTGTCAACAGATTCCCCTCCCTGTTGCCAGGGGGAAACAGGCGCACCTCGGCAACTGGGAAAGGTAATGATCTGAAGAGGCCTTCAGAATGGGTACGAGTACCCTGGCCTGCTTCTCAGTATGCATTTAGTCCTGGGCCGCCCCTGCAGGACCAGACTTTCCTGGTGGCTAGAGGGTAATCCCGCCACTGTGTCTACTTGTTTACATCATGATGGGAGATGTTAGGGGAATATTTTTTTCACAACTGTGAGATCGTTTTCCCTGGGAGAAGAGTGATGTCTGTTGAACTCAGGCTCACAACCTCCATATCCTTTTCCCACATAAAAGCCAGCGCGCTCTCTGTGCTAACTACGGGTCCCTGTGCACTAATAGCCTGTCTAGAATTCCCATGGGTAACGTGTGCGTGGCTGTAACGTGCCCTTCGTAATACTACACAAAGCTGCATTGATTCTGTTATTTAAGAGGGGTTGTGAATGCATAGAAAACTTCTCCAGTGAATCCACAGCTTCCCCTTCACGGTTCAATTCCTCTGCCTAGCAGGCTGCCCTTGATGTCCCCCGACTCCAGTCAGCAGAATGGTGTCTTTTTCCTGTGCCCCTCCAATGCAGCAGTTTCCAACACTGGATTGGGAGCGAGGATTGCTCTGCATGCTGTGGTGTTGAGCAGAGTTTTTCCAGCCCAAGCTGTAGTAAAAGTCCTGATCGTGTCAGAGCTGTAGCATGTAGTCCTGTGTCGGTAGCGCTCCGTGCATGGATCACCTGTGTTTGTATATACAGATTACACAATCTTGGACTGTATCTACAGTGAAGTGAACCAGACGTATTACATCCTTGATGTGATGTGTTGGAGGGGACATCCTGTTTATGACTGCCAGGTACTGGTCCTTTCCTCACCCCGGCCAGTGCATTCAACACCCCCCTTCTTACTGTTGTGTCACTTGTTCTCTGAACCATGTCAGATATTGGGGATTCAGGGAGTCTGCCGGAGGTGGATGCTTTCAGACACCGTAGTAGACTCCCTAGTGTTTGGGATGGATGGTCGCTACCCTGTGCATCTTCTCTCTTCTCCAGACAGATTTCCGATTCTACTGGCTTCACTCTAAGATCCAAGAAGAGGAAGGGCTGGCAGAGAAAAGCAGAATTAATCCAGTAAGTCTTTTGTATCCAGGGCATAAGGGGAGAGTGGATTTAACTCTCCCATCGGAATGGGCTGTGTGTTGGCACGTTGGTTGGTTTGATCCTCCATGTGTCACCTTTTGGTCACTGAAATGTTCTCCTAATGAAATGCGATCCCACGTTCAGGATGTAAACCAAACATTTAAAAAACAATGACCCTGCACTTTCCACCCTAAGTGCTTGAGGAGATCCGGGCCGCAAGGTATTAACTGCCTGCAGCGCCACTTTTAGCCTCCCTGACTGAAATGCAGCTGTAAAGGAAAACCAGCCAGGTTTCCCCAGAGACTGCATTAGTGTGCGTTTGCTTTCCGATAGGAATCCTCTTTTGATGTTAGGGAAGAGCCTCACCTGCTCTCAGCAGCTTGTCTGAGGGGACGAGTTTGAGCTGGGCTTGAATGCTGGAAGTTAAAGGGACTAAGGCTGGGCCAAGGCCCATTTCTGGGCAGGACCAAATTCCCTCAGCGTCCACTGATGCCGAGGAGAGGTGATGACAGAATGTCGGAGGTTCATGCTCCCTGAGCTGTTATTTTGAACAGTTGTTTCTGGATCTTGAAATCCAGGGGGCTACTCAGGGGCTTAAAGTTAGGCATGTGCTTAAGCACCTTGCAGAAGGAAGCTCTCTTCCCTGTTCTGTGAAAGCGGTCACTGCTGCACATGGTCTCAAAGGGGTTAAAGCCTAAGGCCAGGTCTCTGTTGAGCAAATCGGCATAGGGAGTTTGTTCCTACACACTTGCTAGGGGGTGTAGTGTTCAACCGCCCGTGAGTCATTCACTGCATTGGGGTGTCTCTGTGACAAGTATTGTATACATACAGTAAGATGGGGCTACAACTATTTGAGAGAGATCCTGGAGTCATTGTGGATAGTTCTCTGAAAACATCCACACAGTGTGCAGCAGCAGTCAAAAAAGCAAACAGAATATTAGGAACCATTAAAAAAAGGGATAGAGAATAAGAGAGAGAACATCTTATTGCCTCTATATAAAACCATGATACGCCCACATCTTGAATACAGCATACAGATGTGGTCTCATCTCACAAAAGATGTCTTGGCATTGGAAAAGGTCAACAAAATGGTTAGGGGTTTGGAACAGAGAGACTAAAAAGACTTGGACTTTTCATCTTAGAAAAGAGGACGCTAAGGGGGGGAGGTATGACAGAAGTCTATAAAATCATGATGGGTGTGGAAAAAGTGAATAAGGAAAAGTTGTTTACTTAGTCCCAGAATATAAGAACTAGGGGTCACCAAATTAAATTCATAGGCAGCAGGTTTAAAACAAACAAAAGGAAGTTTTTCTTCACTCAGCACACAGTCAACCTGTGGAACTCCTTGTCAGAGGATGTTGTGAAGACTAGGACTTTAACAGGGCTCAAAAGAGAGCTAGATTGATTCATGGAGGTTAGGTCCATCAATGGCTATTAGCCAGGATGGGTAAGAATGGTGTCCCTAAGCTCTGCTTGTCTAGAAATGGATGACGGGAGAGGGATCACGTGATGATTACCGGTTGTGTTCCCTCCCTCTGGGGCATCTGATATTGGCTACTGTCGGCAGACAGGACACTGGGCTAGATGGACCTTTGGTCTGATCCAGTCTGGCTGTGATGTACCCAGTAGTAAGGCTTGGTAGGATTGGACTTTGTAGGATTGTGAGCTCTTCAGAGCCAGGCCACTGGTTTATATGGTGCCATGCTCCCCTGTGGGGCTATGAAACCGGTAAGTTAACCAGATGGATTTGCTTGTGCATCAGTGCTGTGTACAGGGAGCGATTTGGGCCTCAACTTGCTGCGGGCATAAACGGGCGCGTCTCCATTGATTTCAGTGGATGCCCATCTTATGTCAGCGATGAATTTGTTCCTTGGCATTCAGCAGATGCCAACTCTGCTCGTGCTGAAATGGGAGCACTATATAGCATTCAAAATGGGGACACTCGGCATCTGCCATTGACCTAACCTTCAGATAATCAGCATCTCTCAACGGTTCGGTCCTGTAGCTGCACTTCCAGCACTCGGTACAGTTAGGTGGCCAGTGGGGGGGCGCGTACTAAGTGCTTGAATTCTCTCTTTCAGTTTAAATTTGTGGGCCTGCAGAGTTTCCCCTGCACCCCAGAGAGCCTATGCAAGGTGCTGGCCATGGACTTCCCCTTTGAGGTAAGAGGGCTGTCTGCCTTCAGTGGAAGGACAGGGAACTCGGGACCATGCTGGGACTCAGTGGCAACAGAGCTGTGTGTTGTGCTGATGCATAATAGAGGCCATAGAGGAGCCTGCATTTGGGGTAGCATGTCTGATTTGACTTGGATATTGTGGCTTCTGGAGACATGCTAGAAGCCAGCTCAGCTGCAGCCTGGGAGTGAAGGGGGGCGAGTCTTGTGGTCATCAGAATATTTAGACTCAGGAGACTGCAGTCATTTCTGACCTCTGCCACAGAGACTGTGTTGCCCTTGGTCAAGTCATTTATCCCTATCTGTTCTCCAGCTGTAATCAGGGATAACAATACTTCCCTGTCTTGCGTGGTGAGAACAAATTCGCCTGTCAGTTGTATAGATCCTACAATGATGGAGCCGACATATGAACCCAGGCAGAAAGGGAGACTGCCGTTCTTCTCAAATACCCCTAGCCAAATGTCTAGTGAATCTCAGCTGCATCTCTTGGGCTCTCTAGGCCCCTGTAAGCAGATACAGCAATGGCAGCCTGAATCATCCTGGCAAACCAATGCTAGGTTTGCTGGTCACTGCTGACTTTCTGCTGCCTTCCTGTTAAGGCAAAGAGAGTGGTCAGATTTGGTCATCAAGTCTGAGCCCTCTGGGCGGCAGTGCTGGGGCTTGCTCTGGAGTCACACTGCACACGCAGCAGAATGCACAGAACATCAATAAAGTGTTTGATTCTTCAGTCAATAGGCTCACATGACTGCTGAAATTATCTGGCAGCCTCTGTGACCTTTTGGCCAGAAAGCTTCATGCTTCCTCTAGACAACTCCCCCCGGACAGGAGCTGGTTAGCGTCACTGCTCTGAAGGAGGAGTAGAAAGTGCCAGGAAGATACTGACATTCTGAGAGGGAAATTGAGTCAATCAAATTCTCCAGTGTACCCGTCACAGTTTGATCCCAGGTTTCCAGCCACGAAAGGCTAGTACATCAGCATGCTGGGTCATTGAGCTCACGGCTGTCTAATCGATCTCTGACTGTACGAGTTCTTTCTAATCCAGTATTGACACAGAAGTAGGTTACCAAGCGTTCACTAACACAGTCTCTCAAATTTCACTGCACCACAACCCCCTTCTGACAACAAAAATTACAGCACAGCCCTAGGAGAGGGGAGCCGAAGCTTGAACTCTTCTGTCCTGGGATGGGGGAGAGGCTTGTAAAGTGAGCCTCGCCACCCAGGGCTTCGGCCCTAGTGCCCAGCTAATCGCCAGCCCTGGTGACCCCATTTATACGGGGTAGCAACCTGCTTTGGGGTCCCACTCCTGACCCACCCTGTTGAGAACCGCTGCACTAAAGAAAATGGAATGAACAGTTATGTCTCTGCTCATCTGAGGAAGTGGGTTTTGCCCACAAAGCTCGTTATACAGGCAGTCCTCGGGTTACGTACAAGATAGGGACTGTAGGTTTGTTCTTAAGTTGAATCTGTATGTAAGTCGGAACTGGCGTCAGCCGCTGCTGAATCTGATCATTTTCAACAGCGGCTGAATCTGGACGCCAGTTCTGACTTACATACAGATTCAACTTAAGAACCCCAGGCATCCCCAAGTCAGCTGCTGCTGAAACTGATCAGCGGCTGATTCCAGGAAGCCCGGGGCAGGGGCTTCCTGTA